TGAAACTTTACGGGGATATTCTCTGCGCACGTATGAGCTAAAGATTTGAAATTTGGTTACCGCAGACGCCTACACCATGCGTACGGTAATGTTAAAGTTCACAGTTGGCACTGCGCTAAATTGAAAACAAGCAACAAAGAGTAGCTGAAATCTCGCTGGATATTCATTGTTCGTATAGAAAATCGCATGCCTAAGCTGAGTTTCGACTTGTATTTGCGTCACAACTTAGGGCGCTTCAAAGATATTTATAGCGAAATGGCTATTTAGCTAACCAGACAAGTGGCGAAGCTGAAACTTTGAAACTACCTGCTTATGATCTTAAATCAACTTGAAGGCGAAACCATTTGCACATAGAGTCAAAAAAGGGCGCGTTCTGTGAATTTCGTAATCCTCTTTTGACATTTCGTGCATTTCAAATTTGCATTTTTTCAGTTGCTCAAAACAGTATCATAGCATCTTAGGCAACAACTGTACCTGTGTATCTAGTAGAATCGTGCTGGAAATGTCCAAGCGTTAATGATTTGTTTTTTTTTTTTTGCAAGCTATAATGAGCCCTTCAAATTCTTTATAAAAAGTATGCTTGTATAAGGACGATTAGAAACATTACATGAAATTCAAACACCCCGAGAACAGTAACTAACAAGACGGTGAATCGCTTGGAAATCTGTGCTGCGTGCAACTGCTCCATTGAGACTTTAGCTTGTGCACGCGCCTTGCATACGGATCGTTTGGATCGGCGTACATGTTCGAATTGCGCTCGATTGCAGACACTCATAACACCGAACATATCGAGCAACGGCTGCTCCTGCATCGGTTCCGGACAGTCCAAACTACACTGATCACCCACATAATTATGACCTGCAACAGATGTGCTCCAAAGTTCGTTACCAGCGCGTACGATGGGAAATTTCGAGTAAGTCAAAATTCCAGTAGTCACGATAAGGACCATCACGATGCGAGTCATCGCTTATGTTTCCGCGATAAAGAGTCAGTCCCCCCTTAAGGTGAGTTGAATACCATTGCCTCTACGAAAGAAAATAAAACCTGAAATTTAGATCGCCATGCCGACAACCTGTGGACATTTCAGACCTAAAGAAGCTGCAATAATCATTAAAAATGATTTGTTTCAACTAAATCATAAACATGTCTGCGCAAATGCCTTCGAACCTTAGTTCAATGAATATTTCGATTTGGGAATGCTAAACTGGTATCTACTCGTCAAATAAAA